TAAACGGTCGATCCGATTAGGTCCATAGGAAGGCATGGAGATATGCTTTTCTATGGACTGACTGAATGCTTGCGCAGCTCTTGCTGTGCATGCAGTTGATGACATCGGAAGAGGGAGGTGAGTCCCCAGCGCCGAGGGAGCCAGTCGCTAGAGAAAGGCAAGCGTTTAACCCCTTCCTCCCCCAGAGCCCGGCGAGAGTGGGACCCGGAAGGTGGGTGGGACCTAAAGACCCTATAGTGCCAGGAAAACGAGTTTGTTTTCCTGGTACTATAGAGCTCCTTTAAGGACAAAACTTCTGGAATAAAAGGGAATCATGACATGTCACACATGTCATGTGTCCTTAAGGGGTTATGGTGGAAGCTACAGAATTTTGAGACAGAATGGATGTGAGGAGAAAAAGACCCGATTCAACTGTAACACCAACACAGCAAGCTTGAGGGTTTGGGGCAATATGTGTCCCATTGACTTGCAAGGAGATTGATGGAGGTGGACTGTTTGAGGAAGCTCTCTATAACCATGCTTACGACACCTCCTTTATTAACAGATGTGCTGCACAATAAATGTAGCAAGATTGTGCTGCACAATAAACTGACAGCAGCCGTACTGTGGCTGATATCCGTTTACACATAGCCCTGTTCAGTTTAGTGAAACTGGTTAGGTTAAGCTCACAATAGAGCCTCAAGCTGCAGCTCAGCACACATGTTCAGAAGAAAATTGAGGACTATAGCTCAAATGGAGAGCAAAAAACGGGTCGCAAGAGTATTCTGAGAACAGACAGCAGCTGAAATAGCCTGCCCTTCGGTGAGCCCCCGCTCAGAACTCAAGCTGGTTTTAGCTCATCTTGTGCCATTACAGAGAGAACATATCTGAAGCATATCAGACTGGTCCCACCCATACGGGCAGTCCAGATCCGAAATGCCAGCAAGTTCTCTCTGCACGAGTGATACAGCAACCCCAGACGATCGTTTCAGCCTTGTTAAGCATCAGAGAGGCATAGCTGATATCTCTCTAGGCACCGTGAGCAAGGGGTCCACGTCTGGATTACCCTTTAAACTAATGGAGAACAAAAAAACGGGTCACAAGAGTATAGCTCAAATGGTTTGCCCTTTGATGGGTCCACACTCTGTTTTCAAACTGGTTTTGGCTCATCTTGTGCCAAATACCAGCTTGATATACGAGCAGGGACCCACTGAAAGGCAAGCCATATGTAAATTATCAGTATTCCATTGTGCCCCGTTTTTCTTCCCTCTAAGGTAGTAGGGGTATCTAGACATGGACTCCTTGCTCACAATCCATAGAGGGGTATCAACTACTCACTGATGAGGTTTAAAAAGGGATGAAACAAATCGCTGGGGTTTCTGTCTCTTTTGCAGAGGGAGTAAGCATGCATTTTGGATTTGTCCAATTTACTTAATTATTTAGGTTCTCTCTGTAATGGCACAAAAGGAGCCAACCACCAGTGGTGTATCCTGGTTTTGTGCTGCCCTAGGCAGGACAAAACTTAAGCGCGCCCCTCCCTCCCCCCGCGCCAACCCCCTCCTCCCAACCCGCCTTCTAAATACACACACACACACATTCACTGACAGATACGCATACACTCGCTAACAGAAACACACACACACTAACAGACACACTCACTAGCAGACACACACACTAACAAACACATTAACAGACACACTCACTCACATTAACACATTTTTTTATTTTTTTTTTATTTACCCACCTTTGGGAGTGCTGGGGGGAGGGGGGTTCATTACCTCCCTGGTGGTCCAGTGGTTGCCAGCTGGGCTGGGCAGGCGGCTGGCGAGGGAGCTCTTCCTCTGAGGGGTCTGCTCAGCTCCCTCGCGCGCCGCAAAGTGAGGCTGGGAGCCGGAAGATGACATCATATTCCGGCTCCCAGCCTCACTCTGCGGCGCGCGAGGGAGCTGAGCAGACAGCTCAGAGGAAGAGCTCCCTCGCCAGCCGCCTGCCCAGCGCCCGGCCAGTCAGTTAGCAGCCAGGCTAACAAGGCATTTGCCCTGGGCATTTGGGGGCGGCGTTTTTTGCCGCCCCCTGAAAAATGCCGCCCAAGGCAAATGCCTTGTTTGCCTCGCAGCTAAAACGCCCCTGCCAACCACTATTTGAAAACTAAGCATGGAACCCACTGAATGGCAAGTTATTTAAACTGTTGTCCATCTTCAGTATTCTCTTGGGCTTTTTTTTTGCGCTCACCAAATATAAATTTGTTAAGGTTGTACTTTACAGCCCTGAGTAGTCTACTTGGACAGCTGAAACACGGAAGTTTTGGCAGTATTGGAACACCGTAGTTCACACTTTTGAATCAGGTATAGCAGAAAAAATAAAAAAACTACAGTACTGATTGGTAAATGACAGTGGAGGCCAGCCCGCCATAGAGGCGGAGATGTGGAACTTGTTAAGGGGAGAAACATTCAATTGTAGACCTAATAAGTACTGCAAAGCCATTGTTTTTTTTTTTATGGTGTATAAAATCAAAATACACACTACAAGTGTTTATCCTAATAGCCATTCACATTTATTGAATCCTAGAAAGACTTAATTGCACAAAGAACACTGTTGAATGTTGTATGCGTCGGGCGCAGGGTTAACTCTCTCAATTTCTGTGTAGTTTCTTAAAGGGACACTATAGTCACCAGAACAGCTACAGCTTATTGAATTTGTTCTGGTGAGTAGAACCATTACCTTCAGGCTTTTTGCTGTAAACACGGTCTTTTCAGGGAAAATGCAGTGTTTACATTACAGCCTAGTGATAACTTCACTGGCCACACCTCAGATAGCTGCTAGAGGTTCTTCCTGGGTCATGGTTGCCAAAAATGCACCCAAACATTCAGGGTCTCCTTCTGCATGCAGACACTGAACTTTCCTCAGAGATTCATTGATTTAATTCATCTCTATGAGGAGATGCTGATTGGCCATGGCTGTGTTTGAATCATGCTGGCTCTGCCCCTGATCTGCCTCCTTGTCAGTCTCATCCAATCCTATGGGGAAGCATTGTGATTGGATTAGGCTACCACTTCTGATTATGTCAGCAGACTGCTTTTTTTTTTTAGGCAAACAGCATACAGATCTACAGCTTCTGGCTTGAATACAGTAAAATTTTGCTATATTTATGGAGGCATGAGGGGCCCAGATGGTGGTTTTAACACTATAGGATCAGGAATACATGTTTGTGTTCATGACCCTATAGTGATCCTTTAAAAAAAAGAGACCATGTGCACGCTCTTGTACGTTTGGGCAACGAGTAAATGAAAATTCCCACACCTGCTGAACTTATTCTCTTTGTCTAAAGGATGTTCCCCAGATATTCAGTCGTACAACGGTCATACATGTTTGTACTCCATTATGTTATGAAAAAGAACATTCATGAAACCCTTGTGCATGCCAATACATGTTGCAGATTTGCTTTTGTTAGTTTACTTAATTGATTCAGGCAAATATTCTTTGAAAGAAAGCAGTGAGCCTGTAAGTCATTGTATATTTGCATAGCAGAGTATGCTGTGCATAAAACACTTACATTTTACAGGCTTGGGGGGGGTGGGGGGGAAGCACCAAGGCCACCATCAGGGGGTGACAGCGGTTACTCCATTCCAAATCCCACTTCCTTAACCAGATCTTCCTTAACCTGACTGCATTGTGGACTGGAGGCGGACATGGTACAGCTCTCCTGTATGAAAATAGTATGACAAAAGCACCCCAAGGTTCTGGGTACAGTCCCAGGAAGCAAAAGAACCCTCCTGTGACAGAGTGACAGGCTATTACAAGAATATGCTTATAGCTGTTGACATTTTAGAGATTGCTGCAAATGTATGCAAAGAAGCATAGATGGTTTGTACACTAATAATTTTTCTAACTAAAGGCTCGGTTGACCTTGCACAGATTCAGTCATGCATCCCTGGGATCTTATAATGCTAGAGCCGAGGCATGTACCTTGTACACACATCCTCACCATAAACTGTTCAGCACTTGTATTTAAGAAACTCTGAATGTTAATATGTCTCCAGCCAAGAAAGTTTGTCCCACACTTTCAAAAGCATTGCTTTTATAAAAAATAAAAATAAAAAAAACACACCTTCCTATGTGGCACATGTAAAATAACGGCGATAGTGAGAGTTTCTATTGACTGCAGCATTCTAAAGTAAACCAACCAGTCACCAAAATACCAATGGACTGAGTCATGAATGCTGTTTTAGGAAACACAGCAGTTTCCTTTTTTCAGGAAACGAAACAGCTTTTGCATGCCTGTGGACTTTGCAAGGGCTGTCCCAGTGAATTTCAGGTGTATTTATAACGCCAACCTCATGATTTGCCTCAAGCCTTCTCAGAGCTTAAACATAAAAGTAGGTAATCTAAAAAGGCTTAGAGCAGAATACCAGATATTATGTAATAGATATACTCTAACTAATTTTGTCTTATTTGAATAAATACAAAGTACAAGGTCAGCTACTTTAAATTTTTTATTTTTTATGACCACTCTAGGCACCCAGACCACTTCAGCTTAATGAAGTGGTCTGGGTGCCAGGTCCTTCTAGGGTTAACCCATTTTTTTTTATAAACATAGCAGTTTCAGAGAAACTGCTATGTTTACAAATGGGTTAATCCTTCCTCCAATTCCTCTAGCGGCTGTCTCATTGACAGCCGCTAGAGGCACTTGCGTGCTTCTCACTGTGAAAAATCACAGTGAGAGCACGCAAGCGTCCATAGGAAAGCATTATGAATTGCTTTCCTATGCGACCAGCTGAATGCGCGCGCAGCTCTTGACGCGCGTGCGCATTCAGCCGACGGGGCAGATCGGAGGAGGAGAGGAGGCAGAGAGCTCCCCGCCCAGCGCTGGAAAAAGGTAAGTTTTTCCCCCTTTCCCCCTTCCAGAGCTGGGCGGAGGACCCTGAGGGTGGGGGGCACCCTCAGGGCACTATAGTGCCAGGAAAACGAGTGTTTTCCTGGCACTATAGTGGCCCTTTAAGATCAAAAGTCAAAGTAGCTTACCGGGAGAATCTTTCCGGTTTGGTTACTTTGACTATAAATTTTACATTCACTATAAATTCCTAACAATAGTAACCAAACCTAGAAGTTCTGCACTCATGTACAAGAACACACAAAAATATATAAAAGAAAATAACTTTTCCCACATTTAATATATAATTTCAGTATCTCACACATGCACAGTGGGGTGCTATAGGTATATATCGCATATCAAACAATAAGATGCTCGTTCCAGTTAGATGTCAGAACCGATAACCGAGAAAAGGACAAATTGCTACAGATGTAAAAAAATAAAAAAAATAAAAAGTAATCACACAAAAATAAATTCAGCACGAAGCAAAGTGATAATAGTCCAAAAACCACTTGAACACCAATATGGAGTCTCTTTTCCGATCAGAAAACAATAAAAACAGGGGGGTAGGTGCAGCACTTCAGTAATCCTTGACAAGGCATATGTGGAGAAAACCAGAGAAGAAATAGTGTAGTATTTAAAACTGTGGTGGTGCTAGGTAGAATAAAAGATGTACACTCACACTTTCCTGGAGCTTCAATACAGCTCCAGTGTATGCACCTGGGCGGAATAATCCCTGCCGATGGATCAAGTGCAGAGATAATTCTTCAAATTATAGGTGTGGTAGGGGGTATCCTCATAAGAAATAAACAAATTAAAGTTCTATATGGTGAAGCATGTAGAGCTATGAAGCAAGGTTATGCAAAAATTATAAAGTGTACACTCACGTGTAATAGTCGTAAAACCTGGCTCCTCTGATAGCGCCAATTAAAAAAGTACTTTAGTATTAAAAAATACACTAAACGCGTTTCTCCTTGATTAGGCTTTATGATAACACTTTTGATAAAGCCTATCCAATGAGAAACGCGTTAAGTGTATTGTTTAAAACAATCACTTTTATTATATATTGTATTACTTTTATTTATTTTTAATATTAAAGTACTTTTTTTTATTGGACCTAACTTTGCTGCTTTTGGATTGTTTGGAGCTATATTCCTGGTGGGGATTATACCACCCAAGCGCTTTGGATTGAGCAAAGCTGAACTTCCTCTTTAGCATGTGAGTAGGTTTAACTTATTTATTTCTGCTTACACTCCTTTTTACGGTGTACACTATTGTGGTTCTCTTTATCTCCACATATACACGGATGGAAGAATTTATATTTACACCTGTATCCTTGAGTGGGGATCATACCACTTCAAGCACTATCAGAGGAGCCAGGTTTTACGGTTCCATTACATGTGAGTACATTTTATAGGTTTTTTTTTTTGTTTGTTTTTTTTTTTTACTTACCCTTGCTTCATAGCTCTACATATTTCATATACGATTTTTTTGTTGTTGATTTTTTTATGAGGATACCCCCTACCACATCTATAATTCAAAGAATTACCTCTGCACTTGATCCATAAGCACGAATTATTCCGCCCAGGCGCATACACTGGGATGAATTGAAACTCCAGGAAAGTGTGGGTGCACATCTTTTATTTTATCTATCACCACTACAGTTTTAAATACTGCATTATTTTTTCTTCTCTGATTCTCTCGACAGATACCTTGAATTACTGAAAAATATTTTTTTTCTGAAATTCTCAATGGTGAGCGTTAACATGGCCTCCTTATTCTGCCTCACAATTATTGTAGTGTCAACAAATATGGAACAGCATACAATGGATGGGCTAACAGACCCGTATTTATAACTAGACAACTTAGATGCACAGGAACAGAGTTTATATTCTAGTAGAAGCGGGATAAAGTAACAAATAGTAAGTAAAGGGTAGAAAAATAGTATCATAGCAAGGAAACTCAAACTGCACCCGGGCAACTTGGCCTTGAGTGTGTAACATGCAGCCACATCACCTGGGCACTTTTTTCCATCCACAAAGCAGGAAACCATTTTTTTTTTTTTTAAATCAATTCTGCACAGTACACAGTCTCCTTTTGTCATAATGTGTGTGGAGAGTATTGACTATACTTTGTGTGTGCTGGTTGCATTCGATTATGTAATTGTGTTTCACACACTGTAACATTCACTAACCACATATACGTAAACTGACAGACACACACACACACAAACACAAACCCATTAAGAATTTCAACTATCAGCAAGTGCCTGGAGGACTTAATTGTGCATGGCAGAGAGCATGGGGCAGGCTGCTATCCAACTGTTGGCCCCTGGGGGATAGTACCTGGATATGTATCCTGGCAGTGTGCATCCCTTACACCTCCTGTAAGCTACAAGTAATTTTAGCCAGCACTGGGAAATTCCCCACCTGCAGTTTTATCTTTATAGTATGGTAAAGGCAAGCTAAGAGGAAAGGGGACAATTAAGAGGACAGGGATTGTCTGTGGGCTGAAACGATGCCAGTAGCTCAGCTCACACTGATCTTTTGGGCTGAGCACATACTCTGAGTAAGTCCAAAAGGAATATGAAAAGAAGGGTGCAGCTAAGCAGGCAGAGTAGTAATGTCAAAAGCTACAAATTACTACAATGAGATTTGAATGTGGAGGATAACGGAGTTCAAATGCACTTAAGTTTGAGAGCTTACTGAAAATTGAACAACTTAACTTTTTTGGTAACTTATTTTGAGTTTTAAAATTTCTTGCACATTGAGAAAATTCAAGTTATGTATTTTGTAGAATTTGTAACATTCGTTAACATTGAACAAAACTATATATTCATTAGCTATAGGAAGAAATGGCAAGCATTTTCGAAAAAGCTAAGCATACATTGATATTTTCACCTTTGCTCCTGCACCCTTATCTTGGCAGAGAGGAATATAAATTTGGTTTTATGCGTCAAGGCATCAAAGGGCAGAAGGAGCAAAGGGATTACCAATGACTGTGGGGCACCAAACATACTTTATAATGAAGCCATAGATATTTAGCTAAACCAAACAATTACACAAGGTGACTCAAACCAAGGAACAAACAATTGGGGCATGAATAGGTGCTGGCAGTTGGGCAAGTTTAATATGAATGTATTCTAGCTTTTTTATTATTAATTATCCATATAAAAACAGGGGCAGAATATGTAATTAACACTTGCTGTAAAAAATTTCATCTACAAAGCATGCAACAATACAGATCATAAGACATTCTATTGTAGCAAGTCTACCCAAAACGGAAAAATGTACAGATCAGAGAGTCGGGTTTTATTTCCATGACTCCAAATACACACAATATAAACTGAAGTACACGACACAGGTTAATAAGGTTCTTAAAACATATTTGCAATGCCTGTGAATTTCCTTTTCTAACAAGTGTGGAGCTGTATTTCCTGGGGATATAGCAAATGACCAAATACATACACACCCCAGGTCAGGCACACTGTATCTCAACTCCCTTTACCCTCTGCAGTAAAGAGGATGGATACATAAAACTGCAACATTCAAGAATTAGAATCATAACAAAATTAATGCCTTCAAATGGCTTCCTGAGAGCATATATAGAAGGTCGCAGAAGAGATGTGGCAAAACATCCCTGCTGCATACCAATACCCTCCAACATAGCAAATGCATGAAGGAAATTGTTTTGGCAGGTAGCACTCTGACCTCCTGCCACTCTTAATGTGGCCAGCCTTAAAACAGTTTAAGATATGGCTGCAATCTTTGAAAGTTAGGAGTGGAGTTATGACAATGTCATGGCTAGGGGAAATAAATGTGAAAATGTAAATAAATTGTGGGTGGAAAGAGACGGCATTAGAAGCAGAGGGAAAAGGCATAATCCAGAATGGAGAGTGGGATAATTGAACAGGAGAGGGAGCTAAAGAGGAGGGGTGTTACATATTTTTTTTATTATGTACTAGCAGTGTTGGATCTATCCCTGGAGAGTTTGTTCAAGACAAAAACAAATAGAAGTAGGACAGCACAGGCTGAAAGAGGGATGTGTCCACCGAACAATATTTTGGCATGTGACCAATGGTCCGTTTGTTGTGGAATAATAGTAAAATCCTTTTCAGACATCAGGGATTCATTCAGGATAATCTAGCATATGTCAGTGAGGAAATGAGTCAGATCAAATTAACCCTAGAAGTGCAATCCATAGGTACAGACAACCCAGTTATATTTTGGATCTGAAAGACAAGACATCTTAAAGGGACACTATAGTCACCAGAACAACTGCAGCTTATTGAATTTGTTCTGGTAAGTAGAACCATTACCTTCAAGCTTTTTGCTGTAAGCACGGTCTTTTCAGAGAAAATGCAGTGTTTACATTACAGCCTAGTGATAACTTCACTGGCCACACCTCAGATAGCTGCTAGAGGTTCTTCCTGGGTCATGGCTGCCAAAAATGCACCCAAACATTCAGGGACTCCTTCTGCATGCAGACACTGAACTTTCCTCCTAGAGATGCAGGTTAGCGTGATTGCGCTCAGCCATGGTTTTATGAGTGGAGTTAAAAGGGCTCTGTGCAGTGTTGACTTTCAGTGCTGAATAGAGCTTGTCTGTCAATCTAGGACCACTGACTTGCAGGAGGCCTAGTTACCCACTGATACCTGGCATTAGTGGTGTGAGCATGGATTTAACCCTGCTCACATGTCAATCTTTAAATAGGCATTTAAATGCCTATTTAAAGAGCCACATGGAGTGCTGGCTGCCAGCACCTCATCTTAAAGTCTGGGGCCAAAAATTGGTTAGTGGTGTGAGGAGGGATTTAACCCTGCTCACATTCTGATCTTTTAATAGGTATTTAAATGTCAGGTGCCACATAAAATGTCCACACCAGACAGAAGGGATTTAGCCCTGCACACACCAAATATGCAGGGCGTTCTATGCTGCATAAGATGCTTTAAAATCCACTTTATGTAGTATGACAGAATGCTCCATCAGCATTAAAGACGGACTCTCCAGTGCCCCTCTCCCTCCCACCCCAAGTTGCTGAAGGGGTTAAAACCGGGGTCAGGCTCTGCCTACTCTCCTCCCCCGCCGATGTCAGCCGGCAGAGGAGACCTAATGCGCATGCGCGGCAATTGCCACGCACGCGCATTAGACCTGCCCATAGAAAAGCGTTATTCAATGCTTTCCTATGGGGATTTCAGCGACGCTGGAGGTCCTCACATAGCGTGAGGACGTCCAACGTCGTAGAACACACTTTTCGTGTTCTAAGAACATGGACGTCCCTCTAGTGAAAAGATAGATAACCCAAAACTGGAGTTAAAAGGATACTAAAATGACCCAGACCACATTATCGCAATTAAGAGGTCTGGTGCAGTGGTTTTGTTTAACCTTTTAAACAAAACATTTTATTTTGCAGAAAGGGCATAATATGAAGGGTTAAACATGCTTCTAATGGCTGACTTCTAGATAGTCACTAGAGGTGCTTCCACAGCACTGGCACAAAAGAGAAAATTGTTTTAAAAAAAAAACCCACACATGTTCAGCTCTTAATTATGAGGTCACTTCTTATGCCCCTTCAATCTGAGATTATCCAACTATTGTTCTCTTCCAGCTCAGAACATTACAGGAGCTGTCACTATGAGTTTGTGGCATGACAGCACATGCCATAATATGCCATTTTGCCTAGTATGAAAATGCACAACTCATTGGAAGCTATTCAAAAGTCAAAACATCCTATTATAAAGATTCATATAGTGCATTTTGACTGCTGAGACTATTTACAGAACACAAAAAAATAAATTAAAAAAAATTGCATATTTATATATATTAAAAAAAACAAAAATCCCACCGGCATCAAGTTGGAGGGTAGACCTGTTTCCCCAACTAATGGATTTGGCTCCTACATTAAAAACAGCAGATACACGTTGGTCTAGTGAAATTTAACATGTTAGGTCTCCATATTAAGGCATTTGACAATATATAGAAAGCAGTGCGAAGAATACATGTTTCAAAGAAAATCAGGAAAAGGTTTAACCACTTTAGATTTTAGGTAGACTTTTACACAGCAATGTTTTGTCTTGCGACAGCTATGTACGATTAAAGGCATAAGCTGAAATGCTGCTGTGATTTTTTCCTTGAGTCTTCAATAAAATTCTTCCTGAAATCTAATGTGTACGCCTCATCCTGAATTGGTCTTTAATGGGTTACTTTGGGCCATGGGAGGTACCAGGAGAAGCAGCCCTGAAAACTCTATTTTAATGACCAAAATGGTCTTTACACCTTACTCCAATAATAATTGGAAATATCAGGGTACCACACAGGTCTAACATTACAGCATTCAGCACAAACCAAGCATCCTGGAAAAACAAAGCTAGCTCAATGCTCTAGTAGCTCACATTCAGACGTGTCCAATTAAAAAATAAATAAAAAAAAAAAAATTTAAAAAAATCCAGTCGGAGAACACATTGGGCAGAAGGTTTTACCATACACTGTAACAAGCAAACTGCATTTAACACTATTAAAGTCCTTAATCACTTCAGTGTATCACGTTTTCCCATACTTTATAAAACTGCCCATTTCAAGAGATAAATACTTTTTCAAAGTGTTTGTGCTCTTCCTGATGGCTTTGTGCCCTAGCACAAAATGGAAAGCAAAAATCACACAGAAGAGCTTTCCTTTCAATGTGAAGCATTGCAAGCACAGGGCTGTGATTTCTGTGCATGTGCCCTGCTATCTAACACCTTAGGCCTGGAAGATTAGTATTACAATAAAAAAAATATTTTATTAGTAATGCTGGAGTGTTTCTTTAAAGGACCTTTGATTTCTTACAGATTTCTAATAGCACTCCATAACAAGCAAACAGAATTGACAGTCTACGGAGCAAATACCTTTCCATATAAAGAGCTTTTAATCACTACAGCGTTACATATGAATTTCTAACGCTTCACTCAAGAAAACTGCGGAGATACAGATACATGAAGTTTTTCAGCACATTGCAGTGGTCCATACACTAAGATTCATTCCACCTTGCTCTATTTCAAACCAGTGCCACATCTATATCTACACACTTGCCAAGTTGCCACAAAAAGGAAAATAAATGTGATCATGCAGTCAGTGATGGGATAACCCAGGTAGTCCGGCACCATGGACTCAGATTTAAGACGTTAAAATCTACAGTTGCCATGGTTTGGTGGATTTTTTTTATTTTATTTTTTTTAGGTAGGTACACATTACTGGCAAAAAAAAATAAAAAATATTGGCTTTAAAATAGTAACCACCTTTATCAGGTTAACAGTGGCAGCATCTGTATTCTACACACTGCTTATAAACCATCTCATGTCCATCTGGCAAAAAGGGGGAAACAGTTTTAATCTCTTGTCCCCTATAATAGTGTACATGTACATAGTGATTTTGGTAAATATCTGCACTTCACGTATGATACAAGATAGTATACCCAGCTGCTACCAAAAGCATACTATGTGCTCCATCTCCCAAACGATCAGAAGATATAAATTGTACAGCGCTACGGAATCTGATGGCGCTATATAACTAAAATATCTCCTGCCAACATAAACTGCAAAGGAATTGGATGTCTGTCTTCCACAGTGATCATTTGTACTCTAGTTTCTGTGACAAGAGCAGGAGATCTGCTGTAAGAAATTCTCCTAATCTTCCTTGTCACCTAAAGTGACACTATGCATCACAATAACTTTAATATTAAGTTGTTAAGGTGCCTGCAATCCCCCAATGTCATACCAGTTTAATTTTTAACCTGTTTCTGAACACTAGAATAGTAAATGCCTGGGCAACCACATCCCAGCTCCCTCTGATGGAATCACTTTGGTTACACACCACCCTATTCCATACCACCAATAGTGGTCAGTGATCAACTGTAAGAGCTAGCTCACACAGCTTATTATTGCCTGCTCATTGCAATTATTTTTTATTATTCACAATAGGTTGCCAGTAATTGCAACACAGTAAATGCAACACAAACAGAACCCAACACAGGACAAACTACACAACCAATGCAGGAGAGTGGCCTTTTAAATTCATTTAAATGACTACTCCACACATCATGACCACTTTTGCTTTTTGAAGTGGTCGTGTGCAGTGTTTCAACTTGATACTACACATCCATCCAGATATTTTTAATTGTGTGCTGGGGCAAGGTGCATTCCCAGGACACAACTTACGCAGCCCAGAATCCTGTTCCGGGCTGCCTAATGCAGATTGAGCATTCTTATTTAAAATAAAAAAAAAAAAATTAAAGTCTGACATCAACACGCACTATACTCCGCAACAGACGCAACTACTCTTCCCTTGCAGGTGGAGTCTGCAAACAGCTCCTAAGCAGGAGCTTACATTAGCTCACCTGTGCACAGCCCTGCAATTCACAGCTAACTCATTGGCAAGTGAGCCAAGCCCTTCGGTACCAGCTTAGCTCAGATATAGAGATTCTAGATTTATTGGGCTGTCTATGCAAATATATAGCCAGAGTAACAAGATAATATTGACATTTCATCTCCTATTCTACTCATTACACATCAAGGCTCAACACATTTGCTTAGAATCTAGGATCCAGAGAAATCAACACCACAAATATGATTCTTAAAGAGGACACTATAGTCACCAGAACCACTACAGCTTAATATAGTTGTTCTGAAGTCTATATCCTGTCCCTGAATGCTTTTCAAACAAAAGGCAGTGTTTATATTGCTGCCTTGTGACACCTCTAGCGACAGTCACTGAGATGACCTCTAGATGTGCTGCCTGGGTCAGTACGTCACATTGCAGTATCTACGTTAATGTTCCCTATAGGGATGCATTGGTTCAATGCAGCTCTACGATAAGTTAAATTGGCGCAAAGGCATTTTGCCATGCATGCGCAATAGTTTCCCAATGCTTTCCTATGGGGAAGCACTGAATTGGCTGACAGGGGTGCAGGGAGACCGCGCCTATAGAATTGTTCTCAGATACAGTGCTATAGATCACTGGATCCGAGAACAATTCTACAGGCACCGTCTACCCGCTCCCCTTTCTGCAATCCAACTACACCACCAGAAAGAGACTCTGGTTAGGGAAGACCAAGCTGCCACATATACAAAGAACTGGCGCCAAAAGTACATCCCCTTATTATTATTGAATTGGCTGAGATGGTCAAGATTAATGAGCTCAGCCACGGCATCACCAGCACTGCAGGGGAAATATGGTAAATAAATACACCTTTCCCATGTGATTGGAGGGAACACACATCCACAGAGACACAAATAATTACTTTTTTATTTTAAGGTAAATCCATCCAGTCTCACTACCTTTGGAGAGCTGGAGTGGATAGGCTTTCCCTGGCGTCCAGTGGGACTGCTGTTATCTCCCTCCCGGCCTCAATAAGTCAGCCGCCCCCCTCCCTCAGCTCTTCGTTAGCAAACCTGGCCACCCCCTCCATCCCTCAGTCAGCCGCCTGCCCCCCTACCTTAGCTCTCAATGAGCTGACAACCTCTCTCCCTCTTTCACAGCAGGGGAGATAAGGGAATGAGAGATGCCAAAAAGTAATGGTGTGTCAAAGAAAAAAAGAAAAAATAAGGATCTTGCAGATAGATACTTTAGTTATCTGGCATTAATCTCATGGTTTATAACAAAGAAGGTGATCAAATGTATTAAACAGGAGAAGCATTAGGTGCCACCGTTGCCTTATGCTGGAGCATAATATATGCACCAAAATTGCTTCATTAAGCTAAAGTTGTTTTGATGCCTTTAACATACCAAATCAAGAAAAATTCACAATTTGTATATGGAGCTCTTAGCGAAATGTTTTTACAGGTCAAGTGAACACTTAAAGCACCATAACCACTACATCCTGTTATAGTAGCAGGAGTGCCATGGCACCATCCCAGTGTAATCTGTTAAACTGTATTAAAATGGGAGGGCAGGGGAGTCAGGATCACAAGCAATCTCCCAGTTGTGACTGGAAAAATACAAAGTAAAAAAAAGTCAGGAAGATATTAAAAGATTGAGAATTCAAAAAAAAAAAAAAAAAAATCTTTCAACCTAGAGAAAAGCAGCACAACTGCACAATTTAAACAAAGGTTGCAGTTTGGTGGTTTCACAATATGATCTTCAATAACATTCTAGATTTTCGATTAAACACCAGAGCAACCTATGCCCCTTGCATAAGTTATGATGCAAGGATCCATTGTTCCAGTCTATTACCAAGTTTAGAAACATGCATACCCATGGCAGCGATAAAAGCACTACCTCATTCAACTATATCACAAGAAGAGTTCTTGAATAGCATATGCCAGACAGCTTTGAAGGGGTCTATGTTGTGGCCATAATCATCTCAACAGGCTGTGGGAAGCCAGCAGGACCCAAGGAAGTTGCCAATCTACGACAACAGTATAGAGGGCACAGATGCACGATAACCACCACAGCAGAATGCTCCTTTAAAAGGGGACACTGTAAGGACCACGTTATAAGCAGAGGAAAAGTAACCAGACCCCAGAAGACGAAGCCATAACAACTCCCTCCCCCAACCCCGCATGTTTAACAACATACAACAGGGGACCGGGGATACCCTATGTCCTGGATACACAGGAAAAGATAGAAGTATGTTAAAAGCTAGGGTGCTCGACGGCTGTACACCCGCCCCATCTGAGACAATCTCTCGGCGCGGAGGGTGGCCACCCCTGATCGACCTGGAGGTAGATAAGACAGGTATGAGGATCAAGGAGAGAGTCTCAATCATGCCTAGTCTACGGTTGTATAGGTTATGGTATAATATTACCAATGCATGTTTTCTTCCCCTATTTTGTTCCCTCTCCCACCCCCACCCCCACCAAGAAAAGGTTCACCCAGCACCCACCCCAGGGGGAACACCGGGATGCACCCCACACAAAGGAGGACTCACAACACTACATGACAGCGGCGAGCCGACGCACAAGGTACATCATACCACACACACACAGAGCTTAAAATTACATCACTGAACATTAACGGCCTCAATGTACCGAACAAACAGACTGTTACTCAGAGAACTGCACAGACATAAAGCAGATATAGCATTCATACAGGAGACCCACATCCCTAGCAACTCAAAGATACAAATCACAGACCACATATACACGAGAGCATATGCAGCCCGAACGGCTCTGCAAAATACGGGGCGTAGAAATCATCATGCACAAAAGATGCCCGGTGGTGGTACAAACCATACACAGGGACACGGACGGCAGGTACATAATACTCACAGGAACGATCAGCACCACCAAATAACACTTCATAAACGTATATGCCCCTGACATTCAATTCTGGACGACACTGGAAAACCTGACAACCTCATTGACGGGGGCAGCACCTAAATGTGACGTCGTGTCCCATGGTCGACCGCAGCAGCAGGACGGGACAACCCAGATCACAGGGCATAGAGGGACAAGACCGTCTACTTAGAAGATTTCTGGAGAACACAGGGTTACTAGACGGGAACGTTAGACTATACCCATTACTCAGCAGTACACTCCATATACTCCCATATACATCTGTTCCTCACAAACCAACAAGGTATGAGATGCGTCAGGTCATCTGCAATAAATCTAATATCACGGTCAGACCATGCTGACATAGCGCTAACCCTGAAGACACCAGGGCCACGACTCCCTCCTTAGAGAGCCGGAGATCTTAGAGTGGCTCAAGACTTTAAACACCTACTTCCAGTTAAACACCACCGAGGAACTATCTTCGACCACAACCCGGCCAGCCCATAAAGCGGTCCTGAGGAGAGCCTTGATAAAAATAGCAACACACAACAAAAAACTAGGAAAACTTACAGAATTACAGAAGGCCTTGCATACAACAGAAATGCAACACAAACAGAACCCAACACAGGACAAACTAGACAAAGTACAGAACATCAGACACACACAAATATCAACCATTCAAAGAGACTGTTCTACGAAAAGTCCAATAAAATGGACACGTTACTGGCTAGGGCCCTCAGACCCAAACAAAGACAAAAACACATCATGTCCATCATAAACGACCAGGGCAGAACCCACACATCTCCACAGGATATTGACGAGGAATTCACCAATTTCTTACACCAACTATACAATCATTCCCCAGGGAAAGACGGGACAAACAGGGAACACAAGGAGGCAGTCGCAAAGTTCCTGGAGAGGATAAACCTCCCAAGGCCCACCAAGGAAGAACAGACCTGGAGGCTACAATCACAATTGAAGAAGTAGAAAAAGAGCCATAGGGATGATAGAGGGCAATAAGGCCCCGGACGGGTTCGATGGGGCTTACTATAAAGCATTGCAGGAAGAATTGGTGCCACACATGACAGCTATGTTTCAAGAGTGGATGGAGGGGGGACAGCCCATTGCAGAGCTGGAAACGGCTAACGTGATCCTAATCCCGAAGCCAGAGTGAGACAAAACGAAGGTGACCAATTATCGCCCCATCTCCCTGATCAATATAGACTCTAAAATCTACGCCAAAATCCTGGCCATCAGGCTGGGACATATACTACCCAGGCTGGTTCATGCAGACCAGGTGAGCTTCGTACCAACTAGACAATTGTACGAGAATACTAGACGGGCAGTGGACCTAATCTCGTGGGCCGGAAAGACTCTAACGCCTTCTCTCGTCCTATCGCTGGATGCAGAGAAGGCCTTCGACAGGATCCAATGGCATTATCTTTTCCCTCAACTACAACACATAGGCCTACCAGAAAACTACATCACAGCAGTTAGAGCATTATACACGAATCCACAGATCCAAATAGCCTTTGCAGGGGCGACCCCGAAGCCATTCAAACTAAGCAATGGCACAAGGCAAGGCTGCCCGCTCTCACAACTCCTCTTCATACTGGCCTTAGAGCCCCTACTATGCATGATCAGGGAACACCCAAACATAACAAAACTGACAATAGCATCAGAACAATATAAAGTGTCTGAGTACACGGACAACATTCTGCTAACAATCACTGATCTTGGAAAATCCCTCCCGAATCGGATCCTACTGCTGGGGGAATTCACCCAGGTATCGGGTTATAAAATGAATCTACAAAAGTCGGAGGCCATGCTGCTGGGGTTGACGGCAGGGGACGTGGCGCAGATAGGGAGGACGGCACACAAAACTAAACCAACAACATATAAAATACTTGGAGTCAGATTAACAGCTGATACCACACGCCAATGATAAAACCCACTAATAAAGGACCTAGAAAAATGACATGAAAAAACGATCTCCTGGATCGGACAACTCCACACTATTAAAATGAATGTATTGCCGAGGATGCTATTCCTTTTCCAGGCACTGCCAATAAAAAAAAAAAAAAGTCACAAAAGAAGATCTCCAATTCCTACAAACCACAATAGATAAGTTTATTTGGGCACATAAACGACACAGGATAGCCCGACACACTACCGACTAAAGGGACTCTGACTGCCCAACCTTCACCTATACTACCTCTCGGCACAACTACCCCAGATAATAGAGTGGCACTCACCCCCAGATACACGCAGGTGGACAGACCTGGAATCTATAATAATGGGAACAGACCTCCCCCAGTACTGGATATGGGTACCACAGACTGCCCAGCAATAGTTAATTCTATCAGAATATGGGACGCCAACGCACATAAATAGTCAGAACGTCCTCACCCCGTATCTGAGAAACAGAGCATTTACGCCTGGCATGAGGGCACGAGACTTTAAAGGGCTGGAATACACAGGCCTGCAGAGGTACTACCACTTATACAACGGGGACAAATTCAAGACATTTGACGAGTTAAAACAAAATGCACCACTACAAACAAGAGACCTCTTTAAATATATCCAATTACGGGACTTCGCTAAACACCCTGGAATAAGAGAGGCAGCCAGGGCCCCACTTACCTATGAGAAATTATGCATTACAGAATCAACACGTAAGGGCCTTATCACCATGCTATACGCCCAACTTAGCACCCCAGACAGAGACACAGAGACCCTCACCTACATTACCTAATGGGAAAAGGACCTACAACAAACACTGGAAGAGGAGGACTGAAGGGACGCAGCAGCTGAAAAGTGTCCATATGTGTAACACTTCAGGAACAGGCATACAAAACACCCCGGCCAAACCATCACAGACACATGCTGGAGGGGATGCGGAGAGAGGGGATCATACATCTATATGTGGTGGACATGCCCCAAGGTAGTAAGATACGAGGCGGACAGAGACATTAATGACGGCAGTACTAGAACAACCAATAAATAAAGACTCATGAACATACCTTCTAGCCAAACCACAAGACAACCTGATGACAAGAGAACAGAAATTAATTAATAAACAGACCTTAGCGGCCAGAAGAGCACTGACCCAACAATTGCTCAGCCCAGACACCCCTCCTATGCACAAAGTGATACATAAAATAGAAGACAACTATACAATGGACAAACGGACAGCGCAGGTACAGAACACTACAGCCACCTCTTCCAAGGTGTGGCAACCTTGGGAGGAATACCTAGATAGGACGGTACGGATACCAAGAGGTAAACAAGTAAGCCGAGGCGGCATACATCAACACACACAAGATAGAAGCACCCGGTGTGTTAAACACAGTTTATTTTTAATTATGGCTGCCCTGGCACAACCAGAGCGTACAATGCAAAGTAATTCCACATGGATATACAAGCATGTAAAACATTATGGAAGGAATACAACAAAATCATGTATGCTTTCATACAGAATGTTCCTTTAAATGCCAAGCGTGCATCAGTCTTGATACAGAACTGCTGTGGAGGTAAAAATGGTGTTTAGTAAACACCAAAGAACCGTGTTCTTGGTTGAATCGTGCAACAGAAGTGAAGGAAAAAACTTACAAAAGAAACTTACTTTCAGAGAAGTGTCCACTCCGTTTTCAGGACAGCAAATTTTGGATTATGTAGGAACAACATAAACCGTACATGCCCTCTGTTACTAGACAGAAATAAGCTACAATGTACCTGTAGGCATAAATGAATAATAGCAACATCACCAATTCAATGATGTTTAGGGTATCTGCATTAATGAGAATTTTAATTGGCTTAAAGGTTTAAAGGGACACTATAGTCACCCAGACCACTTCAGCTCAATGAAGTGGTCTGGGTGCCATGTCCCCCAGGTTTTAACCCTGCAGACGCAAACAGAGTTTCAGAAAAACTGCTATATTTACACTGCAGGGTTAAGACAGCCTCTAGTGGCTGTCTTCCATCACACAGAGCATCCAAGGACACTTTGAATGCGCGCGCGGCACTTGAGGTGCATCCGCATTCGGCTCCGCTGACGTCAGCGAGGGAGGAGAGGTCACCAGCGCCGAGGAAGCCCGGCGCTGGAAAAAGGTAAGCTGCTGTTTTAACCTCTTCAGCACCACAGGACTCTGAGGGTGGGGGCACCCTCAGGGCACTATAGTGTCATGAAAACCGCTTTGTTTTCCTGACACTATAGTTATCCTTTAAGAAGCCTTGTTATCTTGCTCAGTTACTAGTCGCACCTGCCAGAACAGCAGGTCCAAACCAAATTTAAATGCAACTGATCTCTTAGAGGTGATTTTGCCAAGAATGTATTACTTTAAAGGAACACTATAGGGTCATGAATACAAACATTTATTCCTGACCCTATAGTGCAAACACCACCATTAAGGTGCCCCCCACCTTCCTAAATGAAACGAAATGAAAAGATGAGATGGAGTTCCTTGGCAGTGATGAGTAGTCAAACAAATGGCAGAGCTTTGCCATCAACCTTTGCTCAATCGCACAAGCGACATCTGTGGGATTAAGGTATCGATTTATGGTTGCTCTCGTGGCACCATCCATAGATTAAGTGTTGTACTGCTGCACAGGTGTGAAAGTACAGCACTGACGCAGCTCAAGAAAACCTGCAAGACAAAGATGGCAGCAGCACAAGTGGAACCGAATGCACATGCGTGGAGAGCACCGCGCGGATTAGGCCTTCTTTATATCACTGATTCAATGCTTTCCTATGGACATCCTCATGCAAAGTGTGAGAACATCCAGCTGTGTTACTACCATGTAAAACAGTAGTAAGCGCCTATACTGGCTGTCTGGTAGAAAGCCACTAGAGCAGGGATAGGCAAACTTCAGCATCCCAGATCTTATGCACTAAATCTCCCATAATGCTGGCAAAGCATCATGGGATGTGTAGTCCAAAACATCTGGAGTGCCGAAGGTTGCCTATGCCTGCACTAAAGGCTGGCTAATCCTGCAATACTAACATTGTAGTTTCTCTGCAACATTTTAGATTGCATAGTGAAAGGGGACAGTGCACTCAAACCATTTCTGTCTGGCTGCCTACACTGTCCATGTAACTTCCCATGAACTTTGCAGCCAATGGACCCACACCAAATCTAACCTTTGGGTATGTTTGCAGCATATGCAAAGAGTGACAGATCTTTAACTTACCTTACCTCCCCAGCCGCTTGCTTCTCCTCCCACTACATCACCAGGTATACATCGCGTCTTCGTCTTATACAATCAAATGCTCCTCAGACCGTCACCAGACAAGTTTCCTTCGATAAACGCCTATATCAATCATATGGTCTCAGAGAGACACCATCTGACTGGTGAAGGTTTACTAGGCATGCACACGAGCCTCCCAATGCTTTTCTATGGTGAAGCACTATATTGGCGGAGATCTCTTTCAACGTCAGCCAAAGACCAAAGAGGAAGGACAGCAACACAGACAGACGTCATGATGGAGAAAAGGTAACTAAATTAGAGATTACCCAATATTTTGTCCCAAAGTCAAAAGCAAGTCAGTCATCAATTAGGCCAATTGCCGATAGCAAGCGCCAATATTCTGTACATTTAAAGTTTTGAAAAAGCATCAAACATTCTACAAAAAAACTGAACGTACTGACCACAATCACACAGCTATCACTAAGGTAGAAGTGTATGCTGGGATCAGTGAGATCCAAGCATGCACAGTGCTATTTCTGATAGGAGTGTGATTGCCATGAACTCTCAGTAAGCTCAGTATATTACTGTCTCACCTCCCTGTCTTCAGGTAAACTCTACATGCAGGTGCTCATGGTGAGGGATGACGTGAGATCATGATGTAGCTCCTATTGACTAGCGGCTGGAGTTTACAGATGTGGAAGATAGCATGCGGTGACTGGGAGAAGCAAGTTATCGGTACCAACAGTAAACAAAGTAATAATTTTCAAAAATATGTTGATAATCTGCTCTAATAAAAATTGCCAGAACAGATCAGTCTATCCCGAACATAATTTTTTTTATTAAAGTTTAAAAAAAAAAAAAAATTTAAATAGGAATTTGTTTAAATGCTATGGGTTGGGGAGATAGGCCTAAACAGCTATCCAGGCACTATAGAATTTGGAATACAGATGTATTCCCAACGCTATAGTGTTCCTTTAAAAAAGGAAAGCTTTTTTTAATTTAGGAGACCCCTGACTCTAAATAGTGAGGAAAATATAGCATTAGGAATACACGTTTGTATATTTAAATCTAGTGTCCCTTTAAGGTTCCCTTCCTGCAATAGATTATATCAATGCCATGCCTACTTAGGTGAAATTAATTGGCTGTGAAAACTAGCTTACGCTCTCCACCAATTGGCGCAATCCAAACAGGACCATACCGGATGTCCTGAATGCTTTAGTGGTCTGGGATTATACAACCCTACATTTTATTAAAATGTATTTTTTAACAGAATGTGTGATTGCTTCAGTTTATATTTTTTTTGTGGTTCTGCTATATAAAATTAAGCTAGTCATTAAGATATAAACTTAAAGTCACGAGACCAGAAGTAAAATATTAGTTGTACATTTTTATAGAGGTTTGACATAATGTGTAAAAATGAATTCCACCATATGCTGCTCAAAATTACATAACGGCATCTTAGCTCTAGTAACCCATTGCAAGCATTGCCGACATTCTGTCAGTGTCACACATATGTACCCGAACATAAGCTTTGTAAGAATACAGCAGACTTCCAGCCTTATAGTTTTCCATATTTCCATTTTAAAACACCACATTTGACCTGGGGTAAGAGAAAGATGTTACACAACTCACCCTATGACCTCGTCACTATAGTTCCTAGATTTCCAGGGGATCCCATTATATGAGCCACCAGCAACATTACTCCCAGCTGGATCTTGTAGCAAGCTGTAATTGAGTCCAAATGTGCTGGCCTTGTTGTCTCTTTTCCTCTTGTTTCGGTTATGATCCTGACCCTTCCTCCAACCCCCAGGACTGTGGCTCAGCAGTTGGTTGTTGTTGTTATTGGTGGTCTCCAGGGGTAGAAAGTCTCCTTGTTCACGCAGTGGCTGAGTGGCGGTGATGGAGAACGCCTGAGCTGGCCCATTGTCCCGATACATGGTGGCCTCGCACCCTGAGGAGCTATTGGACGATGATCCGCTGTGTGCAGGAGAAGCAGGGCTGTTCTGGTTGAAGTACAGGTTCCTCAGGCCTTGCGTGGTCTCCCAGATCTGCATCCACAGGCTGTTCGAGGGGCCAAGCTGCTCTGGCTGGAACCAGGCGATCCGAGGATCCATCAAATGGAGCCTAGGCCCCTTGTCCTACCTCCCCCTGGGCTGCCCAAAGTGCAGCTGCCTGTTATTACCTCTGCAATACTAATGAACCCAACCTTGCCCCAATGCCACTAACACTTTTTGATTTCAAACCCCAAACTCGCTCCAAATCCCCAACACCCCAAATATACACTCCCTTACTACACAGGTGGTGTACCCTAGGAATTGTTTGTGGGTGGCCCCCTTCTTTACTGCCTTTGCTTTAAACTACCTTCAAGCAACCTTTAAAAGCAGATACCTAGTTACCTCTAGTGAATAAATAACCTCCCTTTATATTCCACTCCCAATTAAACGTCCCTTCTACCCCTCCCACACCCCTCTCTTCCCTTAACCCGATACCAACTCTCATTCACTGTGTGACTGCCTCCTGCTCAGTATACAGCCCCTTTAAATATGGATTAAAACAGATAGGACAGGCGACTGATCCCCATCCAAAACTCTGGCGACAGTTAACGCTGGCCCCCCAGGGAGTTACGGCCCGGCAACGTGTGGGGGTCCCATGCCCGCTTGATGAGATCTGTCCCCTGTCACACCGGCCACAGTAATGGCGGTTCCTCCCTCTTCACTCCTAGTGCGCATGCGCCACCCTCATTCGCAGGCCCGCCCACAAAATGGGCGTCACGTTAGTTAGCGATTGAGCTTACGTTGGACGTGAAAGAGACGGAAAGCGTGAAAGACGGCGACGTAAGCTGCTAACCAATAGGGTGGCGCAAACCAAGCCATGGGTGAGGGGGGGGGAGGAGATCGTGACGTCAGTGAGGGCAAACACAGATTGAAAGCATTTGTTAACAGCAATAAAAAAAAAAAAAATACACAATATACTTGGGGTAGAGGTCATTGGGCTGTCCTTACAGACAAAGATCAATAAAGTTTTAAGTTAAAGTAAATTTGATATTAAAAAGGCACAAAATGGATACCTACAGAGTTATTCACTAAAAAGTGTGAATTGACAGAAGTTCAGGTTGAATTTGAAAAATTGAAGACAAGATAGATAAAGTGGACACATGTATCAAGTCAGAAATGTCTCCAGGGTAGCTTTAAAATTTAGTTTGAAATTCATTTTGAAATCCTGACAAGTTCACACGTCAATGAATAGCTCTGGTAGCGGACTTGGAGATTTTTTGCTAAGCAGCTAATTTGGCCTAAAAAGTGTAATTCACTTCGGAGTTTAGGCAGTCAACTCCAATTTGAATTCAAAATAGAAAACATATTCGGACAAAATAGCCCAAATTAGAACTGAGGTTTTTTATTTTTTTACTTTATTTTTGCCGGAATGTTGCCGAGTGGATTTTAATTTAGCAAATAACTTTCAATCTGGAAGTTAAATGAACCTAGACATACAAACAATCAAAAGATAAAAAAAAAAACTTTTAATTACCGAATGTGCTTCTTCTTCCTGGGTAATGGAGTCCAAAAGATCTCGAATGGCATCTTAAAATTATGAAGGGGTAATGGCTTGATATTGTGTTTAGCAGAATCACTTTTATTCTTAGACAGATATCACATCACCAGGTTAAAGGGGAAAAATGTGAAAAGTGCTGGTTAGCACTATATAAAATATATATATGTTGCCGAAGGAAAATCACTTAATCAATAGAGGAGAGTTCCCAAATGAGCCGCCATAATTAGTTAATTGGTTTCTTTCTTGCAATCTATGTCTGCAACATACTACAGCACAGCACTTTTCATGTGCTGCTCATTACCCTGTAGAAAATCTATGATTCCTAGAATACATTGTCAGTCTTGAACGTTTATTTGGTACAAGTGTTTTAACCCCTTAAGGACACATGACATGTCATGATTCCCTTTTATTCCAGAAGTTTGGTCTTTAAGGGGTTAAAGGCCAACGGTCATCACGTTTTCACTTCTCGTTTTCTAAAAGTTTACTATATTTAATGAAAGATTATTTTTTTAATATATATTGGGGTTTTTTTTGTTTTGTTTTTTAGAAAGCATCTATTTTTTTTATCTAGCTGAGAAGCCATGTTGGGTCAGATTCTACTATTTTCTGATCAACTGATGCTCCACCTAGCCTGCTTAAAGGGACTCTGTAGGTAACCAGACCACTTCAGCTCATTGCAGTGGTCTGGGTGCAAACTCCAATCACCCTTAACCCTGAGCATGTAATTATTGCAGTTTTTATAAACTGCAATAATTACCTGCCAGGGTTAACTCCTCCTCTAGTGGCTGGCTACCATATGCTAAATGGTTATTCTGCTCAATCTAGAAATTCTTTGTCTCCACGGCACTATTTTTTTTTACCCGCTTTAAGCTTACTAATTTTAATAGCAAGGATTATCCTATATAGCATAACTCTACATTTACCTCTAAATCTAGGGGTGTTTCCACCATTGATCAAAAATTATTAGTATTTGAACTTCTCTAAAAGGTGTCTGATAGCCAAGGGAGATACCTCATTCTGACTTCTGATCAACAAATACAATAGTGAATGTTTATGCCTCCAATATCAATCAGGTATTTCACGTGTTTCGATCAAATTGACAAGTAAATACCTTGTGGATACTCTGGACATATGTACAATTGTACTACTGTATTTGATGCTGAGCACCAAATTCATCTTGTTATCAAGCTTGACTAAACTACTTTTTTAATGTATATATCATTTCCAGGTTTTTACTTATCTACTTGTTTTTTTACTTTCTACATAGGAATGATTTTTCAGCTCCTGGTTATCCTTCCCCCTTGGTCAAAAACTGGTCTTGCAAGTATTAAACTATGGCCAGGTCCCTTCATTTGGGAAATTAATTCTGGAGAGAGGCATGGGATGTTTGAAATTTACAATCCTGTTTGTTTCTCTGGATTGATACTCACATTGTATCTATCTGAAGCTCCATTGGGACAACTGACCGGTGTACTCTTCCCCTCCCCCTCTCCTTTCCCTATCTCCTACTGTTTATTATATGAATGTTATTTCTGTTAAATATTCTCTCAAAATGTACTTCTGTATCCGTACAATGAGTAGCATATCATTCCAGAATGTAATTTCTTTAGAACACTGTATAACTCACTCTTTTTGTTTTCAGCTCTGTGTATCATATGTTGTATATTCTTTCTTAAATACGATATCCAGGTACATTTGTGCATGTGTATCAAGACATTTGGGGTGCAGAGTGCCGACTGCCGAGGAGGTGAGTATCAGACATAGCACAACTCAGCTATACTGGTGCAACGCCAGCAACATCAGGACCTACAGGGGCTGCAAGCCCAACCTCCCCGAAATAAGCTGAAATAAGTTGACTAGTAATAAGGTGAATCCGAACATGGCTGAGAAGCCCGGGTCGATGCAAAATTCAATCAGCCAGGTGCAAGAACCATCAGGCCTGGTCAAGCAGTGACCTTATTCTATTCCATCCCAAGAAGCCAAATTACCATAGGGATACTTGGAGTCGCAGTTAGGCATATTTGCAGCTCTAGCCTGATGCTCCTGAGACCTCCACCTTGGCCCCAATGCCAAAAGATTACCACACTGTAGCGAGCCCATGATCTACCCCGGGGGGGACATTGGGTGGCCTGAGATTGAGTCTCCTGTGGAACTAATCACACTCCACTGGTGTCATATGCAATACATAGTATTATTTGCTTTTATTCTCTTTTATTTTAATTAACTAGGCATGCTTCGTTGATTTGGGTGTGGGCATATCTTTGATAATTTGGCGTTCACAGTCTAATCGGTGGCCTAGTCTAATCATAGTTTTTTTTTTATAATAGAGCTGGGGCACTTATCTTACAGCGGCAGGCAACCTTCGGCACTCCAGATGTTGTGGACTACATCTCCCATAATGCTCTTACACACATAATGCTGGTAAAGCATCATGGGAGGTGTAGTCCAAAACATCTGCAGTGCTGAAGGTTGCCTATGCCTGTTTTATAACATTACCTTGTCATAGTTACTTTGCGTAAATAAGCATATTTTATGAACTATTTCCTTGTTATTTATCTTCACATCCAGATTTTCTAGCTTGCATGCTAACCTAGTACCTACTTATCGCTTTAGACATATGACGTATGCCTGTCTTTATTACAGTAATTTGTGCAGTTTTTTAGACATGTAATATTGGATACTTCTCCTGTCACTAAGCAATGTCATGATCACTTATATATTGTTCTTTTACTGCACAACAAAAATAAAGAATTAAAAAAATTAAAAAATATTTGCCTTGACAGCCTTAAATTTTGACAAATTGTGCCGCAGTGGAACAGTTTAACATAGCTTAATATAACACCTGCACCTTAACCGTCCAATAGGAGAACACTGGCAGGCACAAATAAAAGGCCATCTATTGCACACAAAGCTTGCAGATCTATGTGGGTGGTCCTGCTCACCTGGGTTTCTGAGATGAGACAGCTGCAGTTGCAATGTGTGGCACTATATATTCCTGCATCCTCTATCAAAATTTCCTGCGCTGATCATAGATTCTGTTTCTCGATTAGCATGTGCCTTGAACACTGTCTGATCTCATTCCCTGGCCATTTACAAATGCATCCAGCACAACATACATGTTTGTCATAGTCTGGTAGCTTAGTATGCATTAGGTACTGCAATCTCCCAGGAAATAACTCAGTAGGCTAATCAAGGCCTGAAAAATATTGCATTCTTGTCTAACTATCTCAAACACAAACCAACGTGGCTTCCTTGCTCCTATAGTAGTCTACCTACAGACTTCTCAACATATCTCCTCAGGTTTCCAATTTCCAGAAGATTGGTGCTGAGAGACTGCAACACACATTCCCTTTATGTTAGGACCTGTAGGGGTGTTCATATGTCCAGCACAGTTGAACGGATCTGTGCATTCATGCTCCTGTCATGTGCGCTAGTTTCCTTCTCGATGGTGTTCAATAAATGCTGGTGAAGATGTGAAAGAAGCAACATTCAGATTTTAATTTCTGTCCAATACGCTGTATGTATTCAGAAAGTCTTGGCATTGAGGTAATCACACTGCACTAACTTGCAACTGGTCGTTACATTTTCAAGTTACGAGAAACAATAAAACAAAAAAATCCCCATACACTGAAAACCAAAAATATCATGTGTTCCTTTGACCACTGTACAGAAAAAAATATCATGTGTTCCTTTGACTACAATGCAGAAAATATTGGTACAATATGATTAGCTGTAACAGTTTAATCATTTTAGGCCTTTAATGATGAAAATTCCATGCATATAAGATAACTAAGACTACTGTCCCTTCAATATTGCATGCAGGGGTGTTGCTAGTGTGGCACTGACAGGGCCTGAACTACTTAAAGAGAAAGAAACCCT